AAAAAAAAAAAAAAAAAAAAAAATGCATCAAATAGCTGTCAGTGTTTTTTAAAAAAAAAAAAAAAAAAAATGTATCTATCAAATTTAGAGAGGAAAAGTTTTCCCAAGCCTCTAGGCCAGCCTCCCAGAGGCCTGCTGTGCATGGATTCGATGTAGTGTGAGCTCTGCTCCTAATTCAGGGCCTGTTCTGTTGCTCCAAAATATGAACAGAGATGCACCTGAATACCCGTATATCAACTCAGGGTGAACAAACCAAGCTGCACCCTACTATATCAGCAAGGACAGGAGATCTCAGCACTCTGCTTCCCTTTCAGATATGGCAGGAACAGCACCATGGAGGGCAGCAGAGGGGGCTGATGCACTGTCATAGGTTAACACCATGGCCTTGGGAGTTGCTGAGTTAATGCAGGTAAGAGGTAAGGCAAGAGCTTTCTACTGACACCAGGACTTATGGAACTTTGTGCTGAGTCTCCATTTCTAGGTAGGAAGCTAGGGTGTGGGGAGAGGTTAGCAGTAAGTGCCTGATTCATACTCCAAGCTCTTCAATGGCCTCTAACTTGCCAATGACATACATGCATAGATACCAGAACATCTTGAAAATCCAATGAGTACAGATTAGGTAATGTACCCGCTTCTGATACCTTGGGTGACACCGAGAGATTCCAGAAGTGTCACTGGACTTTGGCCAAAAGTCCAGGCAAGCAGACTGGCAACTGGGTTAACAACCCCAGCAGAGTATAATTGTCCCAGGACTCCTGCCTCTCCCTGTCCCCAAGGCTTCTCTATGCTAGTCCATTCTCTTCTCCAGGTTCCTGACCAGCCCCAAGGAGCTCCAAAGTCTGAATCAGAATGGTAGCTTAGACTGAAGCTGATGTAGGTATATAGCTGTGTGAGTCAACCAAGTTTCTACAGCCGTGATTAGGCCATGATTGACAGTACTACTTCTCCCACTGAATTCCTATTATCAGGGTTATCAAAAAGCCTTGGAAACAGAACCCTTTAAGAAACTGGAGACTCCTGCTAACCATGATCCTCCCTGCTGACCTGCTCTGGCTACCTGACTACCCAGAGCAAGGACTCAGACCAAGGTAGCAGCAGCCCGGGTGCTTCATCCTCTACAAGACAGGTGTGCTGCAGGGGCCTGAACTTCCTCCTCCAGGTTCCATTTCCGGCAGCGGAAGCCTCTTGGAGGGTGTTCCCCTGCGTGTGCGTGTGTGGGTGGAGCCAGTTCCTTATGTCTCCATGCTGTTCCCCAAGGGAGACAGTCTCATCTGAATGACACCTACTGCACTCCTACTTCAGACACTGAACTTGCCATGCCTAAAGTTAGATACATGCACCCCCCCTGTCCTCTCATTCCTTCCTCAGCCCCTATCACCCATCAAGCTCACTGATGTGTCGTTCCCCCCAGCCCCAGCCTCAGCACCTACCTTTCTGGCTAAAGCCCATATCTCCACTCTTTGCTGAGCTCCCGTGGACTCCCTCCTGTCCCACTCCTTACACGAGACAGATACAGCTCAAAGACGGCCTGCTCCTGATGGACTCTGAGCTCCTGTGCACAGAACTGCATCAGTCTCACTCAACAAAGTACTTGTTCCATTCATTACTTACAGCTGCTGTGGAGACATTAAGACCAGAGAAGGCAGGGGCTAGAGCACAGTTAACTTAAGGTCTCCAAGATATGACCCACAGTTCTCATGAGGACAGGACCAACTGAGAAAGGAGGACAACAGAGACAAGAGAAGGAAGTGGGGATAGAGTGGGGGTGGGGAACAAAGGCAGGTACCATCCTACTCCATATTAAAGTAAGCAGTCAAAAATGATGAGGCTGAAAATGGCTCAGGGGTTAAGAGCACTTGCTGCTCTTCCATAGGTCCTGATTTGGTTCCCAGCACCCACATCAGGCAAATCATAACTTCCTGTAACTCCAACACCAGAGGATCCAACGCTTCTGGCCTTAGCACAGACATACATAAATTTTAAAAAAAATTATATTTGAGACTAGGTGGTGCTGGTGCAAGCCTTTAATCCCAGCACTCAGGAGGCAAAGGCAGGAGGCTCTCTGGGAGTTTGAGGCCAGCCTGATCTATAGTCAGTTTCAGGACAGTCAGGGCTGTTACATACAGAAACCCTGTCTCAAAAAACAAAAACAAAAATAATAATTAAATTTGGCCTTTTATGTTGAGACACAGGGTAGAGGAGGAAGCCTCAACTGAGAAAATGCCTCCATAAGATCCGGCTGTAGGCAAGCCTGTTGGCTATTTTCTTAATTAGTGATTGACGGAGAAGGGTCCAGCACGTTGTGGGTGGGGCCACCTCTGGGCTGGTGATACTGGGGTCTACAAGGAAGCAGGCTGAGCAAATCAATGCGCAAGATCCCTCCATGACCTCTACATCAGCTCTTGCTTTCAAGTTCCTACCTGTTTGAGTTCCTGTCATGACTTCCTTTAATGATGGGCTATAATGTGGAAGTTAAGTCAAGTAACCCCACCCGAACTTGCTTTTGGTCATGGTGTTTCATCACAGCAATAGTAACCCTAAGATAGTGGTTCAAGTCTTTAAACCCAACACTCGGGAGGCAAAGGCAGAGGAGTCTCTTGAGTTTGAGGCCAACCTTGTCTAGAGAGTTCCAGGACAACCTAGGCTACATGGTAAGGCCCTGTCTCAAACAAAGAAAAAATTTCAATTAATTTGCCGTTTAAAAAAGAAAATAAAACGATCAAAGTCACTGTAAGGAGTCTAACCCCATTGACAGCAGCAACAGAGAGGTCAAACTGTGACCCAATGCTTCCAAACAAACCACAAGAGCTAGTTCAGAACTAAAATCCGCTCTTCAACATCTAGTGCTCTGTGACTACACCAATGGTCACAGTGCAGCTATGCAGAGGGGACTCTGAGATCTGGGTAAGGACAGTCCATTTAAGAGGGGAGGAAGTTGAGGTTCTGAGATGTGATCTTCACAGAGTCTGTCTGGTATCTAAATCTCTACTCACTGTCAGTGCTGCATCCAAGATAGAGCTTGAGCTGGGGAGGAGGGATGCACAGAGCAGCAAGAGCCTACTCTCCAGATTCTTCAGATAGAATGTGCAGAAGCTGTGTGTGCCAGCTGCAGAAACGGAGTGACACCCACTCTTCCCTACTGCACTTCAGTGATGTCAGGCTGGTAGCAATAAGGGTGGTAGTGATGGCTATCTCCTCCTGATACTGGCCCTCCCCTTGAGCCTTCTCCTCCCTCTTCTTTATACTCAAGAGTCCATTTCACAACACACACTGCCCATCACTAATTATGAGGGCAGATACTTACAAGTCTGCCTATTCTGTCTACCATTCTTCATAAAGATGCAGGCCAGGCCCAACAGTGGTGGTGCACGCCTTTAATCCCAGCACTGGGGAGGCAGAGGCAGGTGGATCTCTGAGTTCGAGGCCAGCCTGGACTATAGAGTGAGTTCCAGGACAGCCAGGGCTGTTAAAGAGAGAAATCTTGTCTCAGGAAAAAAGATAAATAAAATTAAAAAACAAACAAAAAAAAAACAGAACAAAAGATGCAGCCCAGGACACATGGACACACATCTGACAGAGGGAGCCATTTTAACTTTTGCATGTTTTAAATATGCAGCTACAATTTGGCAGAGTGGAATGTTTCACAACCCTGGTGTTACTTGAAATATCCATGCTCTACATGGAGTCGGAAAACACTTAACTTAGGCCCCAAATCCGCAAGCAGTCTCCTTCCAAGGCTTGGAATTCCTTCCTCATTCCCTTTGGCTGCCCAGGGTCAGCTCCTCCCCAGCATGTCCTCCCAGGGTTATACGCGTGCTCTTAACAATCCTGAAGCTCTGGGGTGTCACCTGCCACTATTCCCACACCTTCAATGCCCACGTCTCCCCTCTTATTCTTTCTTCTCCAACTGTCTCACACACCCAGACACCTGCAGCTCATTTCATCCTCCTACTTACCGCAGACAGTTTCTTTCAGAAGCAACCCTAGGTGCTGCTGACAGTAGCACTGTTCCATCATGACTCTCCCTAACTCACAGCCAGAGTCAGCCATTTCATCAGAATCCACCTCCTGAAAATGGCTTCCTGTTCTGTCCCCCTGCCCCTACCTCCTTGCCTCCACTACTATGACTAGCCTTCCTCGGCCATTTTCTCCGGTTTCTTGCTGCTCCTTAAACATATCAGAAGCTAGGTGTGGTGGAGGCCAGCTTCAGGTTACATGACAAGACCCCAACCAATGTGCATGTGGGGGGGGGGG